GGAACTTGTTCCGAGGTGAGTTGGGGATTTAACTCCTGCTTGTAGCCTGGTGCACTCTGATGGGGACTGTGACAGGCTCATTCCCCACAGCTCAAGGTTTCACCAGGGGCTTTGGGCTCTGTCCTTATCCAGAACCTGCCTTGTGGGGCACAAACCCCCTCGAGTCCTGGGTTCATTCCAGCTTGGGTTCTGTTTCAGCACTGTTACATGTTCTGCTTTTGCTGCTGGGGCACTTGGGGGGTTCATTTCTGCCAGCCTGAAGGCACCACGCTCCAGTAAGAGGCGTTCCTCACACGTCCACTGCCGTATTCATGCCAACCCCGCTGGGCAGATGAGACCTATGTGATGAGATCCGTTTCTGTGTCATGACAACGCGTTCAGCTGTGGGGCTGTTAGAACGGTGGAAGCTTCCTTACGGACGTGCTCCAAACGCTTCCCGGTGGCCGCCGGCCGCGGTTCTCCGCCTTGCCTCCCAACCAACGTCCTTTCCCCTCCGCTGTGCATGACCCGGAGCTGTCTGCGCGGAGCTGCTGCCGCCTTCAGGCGGGAACCACCGAACGTTTCTGGACGGTTTTAGGCGTTGAAACGCAGAAATCTCCGTTTCGAGTCCTCGATTAAAAGGCTCCCAACGTCCCCGCGCTCCGGTGTTCCTTCCACGGGCGGCCGGGCACAGCGGGGCGAGGGAGGAAGGAAAGGAGCGGGGGGGCGGAGCAGCCCGGCAGCTCCCGCCCCCCGGCCGCGCTCATTGGCTGCCCCGGCGCCGTGCGGGCTCCCATTGGCCAGCGGTCCCGCAGCGCAGGAAGCCGCCGGCAGCTCCCGCCCGCCCCGGCCCCACCAGGAAGCGTTTCCTCCGCCCGGCCCCCGAAGTTTGACCGCGGGGAAGGAGCCGCCGGGCACGGTAAGGGGGGGGGGGAGGAACGGAGCGCTCGTCCCGCAGCGCTGGAGCCCGGTGCGGGAACGGGCCCGGGTACCCCCCCCCCCACCACCCCCGGGTCCCGCCGCGCTCGGTGCGGGGGCTCCGGGACGGGCGGTACCAGCGCTGCGAGGTGAGGCCGGGCCGGGGCCCTGTCCCCAGGCACTGGTGAGGCCGCGCCTCGAGTCCTGTGCTCAGCTCCTTGCCCCTCACTGCGAGAGAGACATTGAGGGGCTGGAGCGGGGCCATAGGAGGGCAATGGGGCTGGAGCAGGGCCTGGAGCACAAGGGATGGGGAAGGGCTGAGGGAGCTGGGGGGTTCAGATGGGGAAGAGAAGGCTCAGGGGGGACCTGATCGCTGCCTCCAACTGCCTGAGAGGAGGATGGAGCCAGGAGGGGCTGGGCTCTGCTCCCAAGGGATGGGACAAGAGGAACCGGCCTCAAGCTGCACCAGGGCAGGTTTAGATGGAGCTGGGGACCAATTCCTGCCCCACTGGACCAGGCTGCCCAGGGCAGTGATGGAGCAGCTGAGGCTGTCAGTGCCGTGGGGCAGCGGTGGCCTTGGCAGTCAGGACTGGATGAGCAGAAAGGGCTTTCCCAGCCTGGTTCACTCCATGGCTCTGAGCTGTTGGGTGGCAGCAGCTGCTCCCTCCCAGTGCTGCCCAGGCCTGGGCAGGGTGGGACGGGGGTCCCGGGGCTGGCGCTCAGCGCTGCTGTGTCCGTGGTGCCCAGCGCCACCCAGGGCTCGGCTCGGGGGGAGATGACGACGCTCACGCACCGCAGCCGCCGCACCGAGGGCAGGAGAGGCACTGGGGAGGAGGAGGCGGCTGCAGAGAGGGACCCGACCGAGGAGGACCCCGATGACTCCAAGGACATTCGCCTGACGCTGATGGAGGAGGTGCTGCTGCTGGGGCTGAAGGACAAGGAGGTAAAGGAGGGACTGGGGGGGATGCTCAGGGGCCTACTGGATGCAAAGCTCGACCTCCTCTGTGCAAACCGGCCCCATCCATAGCGGAAGCTGAGCCCGGGGCTTTGCTGCCATGGGGGCTGCTGGAAGCCCCCAGCTGGGATGCAGGAGCACCCAGACCACAGAGAAGGGAAGAGCCAGGCTCAGGCTGTGTTAGTGCGGGCTGGTGCCGTGGTCCCACCCGGAGCTGCTCAGGACCCCGCTCCCCCAGGTCCAGCTGGGAAGAGGTGAGGGACCTGCAGGTGCCCTGCTTCTGGAACCCGGATGAGCTCCGGGATGGAGCTGCACAGGGAGTCCCATACGAACACAGCAGCTCCGCATTGTCCCGGGCTGGGGCTGGTGCTCTTGGCTTGGTGAATGCATTCCTGGGAATGGTCATGGAGGCCCAGGGAAGCTGGGAGAGCGCAAGAGGCGTGAGCAGCCCCTGCGGTCCTGTCGGGCCGCATTCCTTCCTCTCCAGAGGGTTGGGAGGCAGCAGGGGCTGGTGCTGAGCTGGGCTCCCACCATTGGCTTTTCCCAGCTCCACTGGGGGAAAACCCCCAGGATCTCAGGGTGGGATCTCAGGACTGAAGGAGCCTGAAAGGAACCCAGGAGCTTCGGGCTTGGGTGGCTCCAGAGCCCTTGGAACCTGCTGGAGGTGCCCTCGGTCACCTCTGCTGGAACCGGTTCCCCAGGGCATGAAAGGCGCCTTTGTCCTCGCACACAAGGAAGTGAAGGGAGCAGGGGAGGATTCTGCCTCCTTGCTGCTGGCTGGGCTGCGGGAGCAGAGCCCGGTGTGTCCGGATGCACCGGGAGCAGAGCGCACCCGCTCCCAAGGCTCCCATGGAGGAGCCTGCCTGATCCCTGGGGACGGGGCTCCTGAGGCTGCAGTGTCCTGGGGGAGCTGCCCGTTGGGAACAGGCCCTGGTGGCCATTCCCAGGCTTCCTTATCCAGATGCTTCCTCCTTCCTGGTGCCAGCTCCAGGCTCTGTGGGCTGCACCCAGTGGAAGCAGGAACCGGCCATTCCCTTCCCCTCTGCTGCTGCCCCCCTATTCCAGTCCAGCTCCTCTGCTGGTTCCTTGTGGGCTCTCCAGAGCTCTGCACCTTCCTGTTGCTTTGGAGCTTGTGGCTCCCAGGACAGGCTTGGAAAACACCACCCACATCCACGCGGATGTGGAATGGGCCAGGTCCCCGCTGCTTGGGTTTTCCCATCCTTCATCCCTGACCAGGAACCTCCTCCTCCTGCTGCTGCTTGTGTGTGGGAAACGCGTGCCCCATCCCCGGCAGTGCTCAGGGCCAGGCTGGATGGGGCTTGGAGCTCCAGGTGCTGGGAATGGCTCTAATGGAGCTCCTGCTCCCATCCTGTTCCTCCCAGGGCTACACCTCCTTCTGGAACGACTGCATCTCCTCGGGCCTGCGCGGCGGCATCCTCATCGAGCTGGCGTTCCGCGGCCGCATCTGCCTCGAGCCGCTCTCCATGAGGAAGAAGAGGCTGCTGGAGAGGAAGGTGCCGAGGGGCCAGAGCCCAGCACCGTGGGGGCTGCGGGACGGGAGCAGCGGCTCCGCATCCAGCCTCAGATCCCGCTCTGCCCTTGCAGGTGCTCCTGAAGTCGGATGCGCCCACAGGGGACGTGCTGCTGGATGAGACCCTCCGGCACATCAAGGCCACGGAGGCTGCGGAGACGGTGCAGACCTGGATAGAGCTGCTCACCGGTAGGGCTGCTTGGAGCCCCCATCCCTTGGGATGCTCCCTGGCATCCGTCCCTTCCCCGGGGCTGAGAGCGGAGCAAGGGAAGGCGGAACGGGGGGGCAGAGGTGGTTTTTGCTGGGAGCTGGACCTTGCTCCCCATCGCCTCTTTTCCCATGCGGAGGCAGTGGTTCACAGCGGGGTTCCCAATGGATCTGCCCTGAGGACTCTTTCCCAGCTTGGATGCTGGGAGAAGGCAGAGCGAGGCCCGGGGAAGGAGCAGGGTTCCTGCAGCCACGGGCTGGGGTTGGGTGGCCAAGTCCTTGCCGCACCTTCTCCCGCAGGAGAGACCTGGAACCCCTTCAAGCTGCAGTACCAGCTGCGGAACGTGCGGGAGCGCGTGGCCAAGGCGCTGGTGGAGAAGGGGATCCTCACCACGGAGAAGCAGAACTTCCTGCTCTTCGACATGACCACGCACCCCGTCAGCAACGGCACCGAGAAGCAGCGCCTGGTGCGGCGCCTGCAGGAGAGCGTCCTGGAGCGCTGGGTCAAGGACCCGCTCCGCATGGAGCGCAGGACTCTGGCGCTCCTGGTGCTCGCCCACTCCTCGGACGTGCTGGAGAACGTCTTCGCCAGCCTGGCCGATGACAAGTACGACGTGGCCATGAACAGGACCAAAGACCTCCTCGAGATGGACCCGGAGGTGGAGGCTGCCAAAGGCAGGCCCACGGAGATGGTGTGGGCTGTGCTGGCCGCCTTCAACAAGTCCTAAAGAGCCCCCAGGGACCAGGCGGGGCGGCCTCGGCTCGAGGCGTTCCTGCAGCAGCGGTGGGCTCGGCTTGGGGATAACGGGGGGGGGGGGGGTGTTTGGTTCTTTCCCCCCCCCCCGTGTGGCCGGGGCCCTCGCTCCTCCCCCGGCCACTGCTGCTGCTCCATTGGCTCCTCCGCCATGGGGTGACCCCCCTAGAGGGGGTGCAGGCACAGAGCCATGGGGGGGGGGCAGCTCCAAGGGGTCCCCGCGTGCCCCCATCGCCCCCCGTTCCTCGTGCAGGGGAAGCTGTGGTTCTCTTTTCTACACCCCGTTCCCCCCCGCAGCTCCCTCGGCTCCTGTCAATGAACTCCCGGCAGCAGGAGGTGTCCTGGGTGTTCAACTGCGCCGCTCGGGGCCGGGGGGGGCCCGCTGGGTACCGGTGGCTCCAGCGCTGTCCCCATCCCTGCATCACAGCGACCGGGTCCGGTCCCCGCACCGAGGCTCCGCCCCCGTGGCGCCGCCTCGCTTCCCATTGGCCAGTGGCCGCTCCAGCTGGGGAGGCTCCGCCCCACCTCTTCCCCGCGAGCGCTGATTGGTCGGGTGTGATGTCACCGCGACCGCCTCCCTATCCCCATTCGTCAAAGCTGCTATCCGTCATGGAGCTGAGGCGTTAAGGGGGCGGCAGCGGCCATTTTGGAGCGGAGCGTGGGGCGGAGGGAGCGCGGGGAGCGGAGGCCTCTTCCCGGCCCCGCCATGGCGGCCCCGCTCGGTACCGGCGCCCGCGCCCAGGAGATGGGGCAGGAGAAACAGGTGGGGATCCCCGGGGGGCTCCCATTGGCTCACCCAGACGTCGCTCGCCGCAGCCTTGTGCGCGCATTGGTTGGTTGCTGCTGAATGCTGGCTTCTCATTGGCTGCGGTTGCGGTTGGGGGCTGGACTTCCGACAGGACTGGTGGGAGAGCGGGGTCTCGGTGGTGAGGGCGGTGCGCGGGGGCTTGTGGGATACTGGGGGTTTCTTGGGGTGGGGGGTGCGGTTATGGGGGTGAAGCTTCGTCCCCGCGGTATGTGCTGGGTCGGGGGTGCTGTGGGAAGGGGCAGCGCCGTGGGCAGCGCTATGGGGCAGCGCTGGGGCCGGTTGGATTGGGTGAGCTGAAGGCCTTTCCCAGCCCGGCTGCCTCAGCCGGGGCCTGGCGTTGCCATGGGGACGGGATGGGGCTGAGCTCCCCCGGGCCCACAGAGCCATGCGCTGAGGATGGTGACGGGGCCCCCGGTGCCTTCCCCCGCCCTCAGTGCCCGCTTCGACCCCAAGGGGGGGCTGAGGGCTCCGGGGGAGATGTGCGGAGCCTGCACTGCAGCCGCGGCCTTGTTCGGACCAAGCCCCCCCCACCGGGCCCGGTTCCCAGGGGCTGAACGCGGGGCTCCGGTGCTTTCAGTGGGGCTCAAAGGGCTCCTGGCCCCTCTCTATTTCAGGCCATGCAGCACAAGGACCCCATGGCCCTGGAGCGAGCAGAAGAGCTCAAACTCAAAGCCAAATACCCCAACCTGGCCCAGAAACCCGGGGGCTCCGACTTCCTCATGAAGAGGCTGCAGAAAGGGGTATGTGCCACCGGGGGACACACACACACAGAGCACCATGCAGGAGGCCCCATCCTGATAGATCTGATGCGGGAGTGCAGCACCCTTTGGGCTGCCTGCACTGCGTGGATCTTCCCTCGTGGGGTGGGTTGGGAGCTCCCCAATGGTTCCTTCAACCGAATGTAACCCCAGGCTCCTCTTCCAGCAAAAGTACTTCGATTCGGGTGACTACAACATGGCCAAGGCCAAGATGAAGAGCAAGCAGCTGCCGAGCGCGGCGCCGGACAAGACCCTGGTGACGGGAGACCACATCCCCACCCCGCAGGACCTCCCGCAGCGCAAGTCCTCACTCGTGACCAGCAAGCTGGCGGGGTAACCTGGAGCCCTGCCTCCCCTCCTCGCCTCCTGCCTCTGCCCCAATGGATTGAACCTCGCTGTACCCCAGGGATGGGAGCGTCCGCATCCGTGTGGGTGCTGGAGCATCCCGGCAAACACAGCCCAAACCCCGGAAGATGCAAGAGGTGCCCGCAGGACCCGGGGGCAGGTTTGGGTCAGCAGAGCCTGCAGCAAAGCCACTCGGTCCCTGCCTTCGTTTTCCTGCTCTTTGGAAGCCTGCAGAGCCTCTGGAGCTGCCTCCTCACTGGGAGAAGCAGGAAGGGGCTTGGAGTCGTTGCCGTTGCTTGGCACGGGGTAGGAGGGGGAGCTGAGCTCTGTGAACTGGGCAGAACGGGCTGGAGCTTGGGGATGAAGGAACAAGCAGACGTGCAGAGACCTCCATGGCTGCGATGCTGGGCTGAGCTCCCAGTGCTGGGACTGGGGCTGGAGAGGTCCTGGAGCCTTGGAGCTGCTCTGGGTAGAGCCTCGATGCGGCTGTGGCTGCGGGCAGGGGATGCTGTGGGGCTGAGCAGCAGGGCTTGAGGCAGCTCCTGTCCCCATGGGCTGCTGGAGGTGCTGAGCTGGATCCCACCAGCAGCGAGGTGATGGGGACACCAGAGAGGGGGCGCTTGCAAAGCAACCAGCGAGGTGGCTGCAGGGAACGACCACCCTGGATGGGGAGGATGCTCCGGAGCCACAGAGCCTGGAGACAGGGAGGGAGGAGCAGCATCGGGTGCCCCACGCTTGGGTTCCTTTCGTTTTCCTCCCTTTTCTTGCCCTTCTTTGCCTTTTCTTTGCTCAAGGCCTGGCCAAAAGCAGCCAAACCCCAAGCAGGCAGCGAGGCGGGTGCGGTGCTGCAGCCTGTGCGGTGCTCGCTGCACATCCTGCCTGCTCCTCATGCAGCACCCAGAGGCTCAGCACCTCCTGCCCTGTGCAGCGCAGGGGCTCAGCGCTCCCGTGCCTGCTTTGGGAGGGAGGCATTCCAGAGGGAATGGAGTGGAGTTCCGCTCCCTGTTCCGGTCATGGAGTGGGGAAAGGAGCACTGGGGGTGCCCCCCCCTGCTCACCACAGGGCTGAGCTTTGGCCTCCAGGCCCTGGGCACACCCCCGGTGACGTGGCGCTGCCCGCAGGCTCATAGATCCATGTACCTAAAATACATCTAATTTTGTACCGGCGCAGAGCTTTGCTTTCCCTTTGCTGGGACAGGGAGCTCTAACGATGGGGGACAAGGGGATGTTGCAGCTTGGGGCAGGGGGGCGGCTCTGGCCACGTCTTTCCCTGCTTTGCTGGGAATCCATGGGAAAGGGAAGCGATTGTTCGCTGCAGGATGAGAACCAGTGAAAGCGATTCCATACAAGGGAAATAGCGATGGAATGGGGTCATTTCCACCCTGCCCGGGCCCCACATTCCCGTCCTCTGCTCCTTGTCCAAGCTGCTTTGCCATGGGGCCATCGCCATTGGGGTGCCCCCCGGTGTCCCCCTCCCTTTGTCCTGGCACTGTCAGCCTTGACGTCACCGGGGGGGGGGGGGTGTTCTCCCTGCTCCCCGTGCCCCCCCCGCCCGGTTCAGGGACGTTCTGTTCCATCCCATCCCATCCCCTGCTCTCTGTGCTCTCCAGGCTGGCACCGCTCCCAGCGCCAGGAATGCGCTTCCCGACCCGGCCGCATTCCATGGGGAGGCTCCCGCAGGGGCAGGGTTTGCCTTTGCTCAGCACCAGGATGTGACCCGCGGCCACCTCTGCTCACGTCTCGCTGCGGTGCCCTTTGCACAGGGCTGGGACCCAGAGGCCCCAGCACGTGGCCACGGTGTGGCCGAGCCCGGGGCACAGGGAAACCCTCCCGGGTCCAGCCCCGGTTCCAGTGGCTCTGGATGGGCACTGAAAGGACTGGGATGAACCAGGGTGGAAAAGAGCTTTAACATCATCGAACCCAGCCGTTAACCCCTGCCCGGGGCAGCCTGGTCCAGTGGGGCAGGAATTGGTCCCCAGCTCCATCTAAACCTGCCCTGGGGCAGCTTGAGGCCGTTTCCTCCTGTCCCATCCCTTGGGAGCAGAACCCCCCCCCGGCTCCATGCTCCCATCGGGTCGGGAGCAATCAGGTCCCCCCTGAGCCTTCACTTCCCATCTAACCTGGATCGGGGCACACAGCATGGGGTGGGCTCTGCCCCGTAGGCACCCATAAGCACTTATTGCACACTTAGGCACCCATTGCATCCACAGACACCCATAAGCACCCATTGCACCCACAGGCACCCATTGCAGCCATTGCACCCATGAGCACCCATTATACCCATAGGCACCCATTGCATCCATAGAGACACCCGTAGCACCCATTGCATCCATAGACACCCATGGGCACCCATAGCATCCATTGCATACATAGACACCCATAGTACCCATTGCATCCATAGGCACCCATAGACACCCATTGCCCCCGTACCCTCAGCCCCGCCGCGCCGCTCCTGCCCTCCCTCCCTCCCCGCGCAGCGCCCCCCGTCGGCCGGAAGCGGAACCGGAAGCGGAACCGGCGCTGCCGGTGCCCCGGTGCCGGCCCCGCCCCTCCGCGCCGCGTCACCGCCGCCATATAGCGAGGAGCGGGCGGCGGCGCGGGCGTTGTGCGGGGCCGCCATGTTCGCGCTGCAGCGGAACGCGGTCATCGGCCTGCACCTCTACTGCGGGGGCAGCCCGGTCCCGCCGCCGCCCGCCGCGGGGGCCTGGCCCGCGGCCTGCTCCGAGGCGCTGCTGGGCTGCGGCCCGGGCCCGGTCCCGGTCCCGCTGCGGAGCCCCGAGGAGGAGTTGGACGGCTTCGAACCGGAGCCCGAGCGCGGCCCCGCCGAGACCCCGCTGCCCGGCGGCGCCCCGGACCGCCTGCGCCAGGCCTCGCTGGAGCTCATCGGCCGCTACCTGCGGGAGGCGGCGGGCGAGGCCCAGCCCGGCCCTAAGAAGCTGTTCCCGGGGCTGCGGGTCGGGCCCGGGCGGCCTCGCGGCGCCGATGCGGGGCTGGAGAAGGCGCTGGAGACGCTGCGGAGGCTCGGGGACAGCGTCCTGCGGAAGCACGAGCTCGCGTTCCAGGGTGCGTGCGGGGCGAACGCGGGGAAGAGGCCGGGGATGGAGCAGGGCCGCGGTGCGCGGGGTCCGGAGCCGCTGGGAAAGCGGGTTAGGGTCAGGGGTTAGGGTTCGGGTTAGGATTGAAGTTAGGGTCAGGGGTTAGGGTTCGGGTTAGGATTAGGGTCCCCAACCCGATGGGAGGATGGAGCCAGGAGGGGCTGGGCTCTGCTCCCAAGGGATGGGACGGGAGGAAACGGCCTCAAGCTGCCCCAGGGCAGGTTTAGATGGAGCTGGGGACCAATTCCTGCCCCATTGGACCCGGCTGCCCCGGGCAGGGCTGCGGGCATCGGCCCTGGAGGTGATCACACCCCCCTCAGTGCTGTGGGGCAGCGCTGGGTAAAGGTTGGGTTGGTGATGTCAAAGGTTGGGGTTGGTGACGTTAAAGGTTGAGTTTGGTGACATTAAGGGTTGAATTTGGTGAGGTTAAAGGGTTTGGTGACGTTAAAGGTTGAGTTTGGTGGCGTTAAAGGTTGGATTTGGTGAGGTTAAAGGGTTTGGTGATGTCAAAGGCTGAGTTTGGTGACATTAAGGATTGAATTTGGTGAGGTTAAAGGTTGGGTTTGGTGACGTTAAAGGTTGAATTTGGTGAGGTCAAAGGGTTTGGTGAGGTCAAAGGTTGGATTTGGTGACGTTAAAGGTTGGGTTTGGTGAGGTCAGAGGCTGGGTTTGATGCTGCTGGGTTTGATGCTGCTGGGTTTGATGCTGCTGGGTTTGATGCTGCTGGGTTTGATGCTGCTGGGTTTGATGCTGTTGGGTTTGGTGCTGCTGGGTTTGATGCTGTTAAAGCTCTTTCCAGCCCGCTTGGTTCCAGGACTGAGCCCCGGGGGATGTGCTCCGGTTGTGGCTCTTTTCCCGTTGCCAGCTCACTTGTGAGGAGCCCTGCAGCAGCCCAGTCCCTTCAGTGACATTGACCCAAGCTGGGGCTCGAGTCCCGTCCCTTCTGCAGCGTCCTGGGGCCAGCCTGGCAGTGGGAACGGAGCCGGTCTGGTTTGGCTTCGGGTGCCTCGGAAAGGAGCTGGTCTGGGGCCAAGGTCCCAGCAGTGGGGGGTGCTTTCAACCCCTCCTTGTTCCAGGAACGCTTCCAGCCCCGCTCTGAACGCGGAAGGGTTTCGGTTTCGCCCTCTTGTCCCGGTGCAGGGGCTGTGGTTCCGTAACCGCAGCCAGAGCCAAGGAATGGGGAATGCTCGGGGCAGGGCTGGTGCTGGTGGGAGCCTGGTGCAGGGTGCAGGAAGGACCTGGGTTCAGGGTTAGGGTTAGGGGGCGTTGCAGGTCCGTGCGCTCCCAGTTCCTAGACCCACAGCAGTAACTGGGGCCATCTCCTGGCTCTGTGCTCACTGCTCTGCCGGGGCTTTGGGGGGGCCAGGGGCTGGTTTCTGTCTCCCCCAGGCTCCCTCGCTGCTCCCAGCGCTGCACATGGGGGTCTCAGTGCCTCCTTCCTGCCCCTAAAGCAGCGCCTCTTGCAGGGATGCTTCGGAAGCTGGAAATCCAGAAGGAGGAGGACCTGGAGGCGGTGCGGGACGTGGGCGCGCGCCTCTTCGGGGACGGGCTCACCAACTGGGGCCGTGTGGTGACGCTCATCTCCTTCGGGGCCTTCGTGGCCCAGCACCTGAAGAGCATCCAGCAGGAGAAGAGCATCGGCTCCCTGGCAACCATCATCACGGACGCGCTGCTCGCCTCCAGTCGCGAGTGGCTGCTGAGCCAGGGAGGTTGGGTGAGTCCTGCCTGGGACTGGGACCTCTGCATCCGATGCTGGTGCCTCAGAGCCTTGAGCAATGCATGGGGAGGGCGGCGTTCCCAAAGCTGAGTCAGTCCCGGCTCTGCTGAGCTGGTTCCGGACCGGTCCCCTCTATGGGATCACATTGGGATGTGCTGTGAGGGCTGGACCCAGAGCGGTGCCTTCCTGCTGCACTGGGGGCACTGGCAGGGACCTGAGCTCCCCTTTTCCCCCTCTTTAGGAGGGCTTCGTGGAGTTCTTTCACGTGGAGGACCTGGAAGGCAGCGTCAGGAACGTGCTGATGGCGTTCGCAGGCATGGCCGGACTGGGAGCCAGCTTGGCCTACATGATCCGGTGAGGACCGGCCGCGGGGAGGCCTGGCTCTGTGGTGGGGTCGGTGAGCTCAGCACCGCCTCCTGGGAGGACTTCCAAAGCTGGACTTGAGAGCATCCCCGAGCGATGGGGTCAGGTCTGGGGGTACCGCTGCGGATTCACTGCTCGGGGGGAGCGGAGGAGCTGGCGGCCGCTGCTTGCCGAGAGGATGCTGCTGACCCGGAGCTGGAGCGGCCGCTTCGCTCCCATCCCAGAGGGACCCATCCTGCCTCGCAGCGGGGCCGAGAGCACCAGCAGCCGGACTGAGCTGGGAGCAGATGGGAGCAATGGGTTCGGGGCTGTGGCGTCCTGGAGGTTGCATCTGCTGCTGGAGCAGAGGCCTGGCCATGGCCCGAGGTGTGCATGGAGCAGCAGGAGGGTGAGCGGGAGCAGTGGAGCCCTGCATGGCCCTTCCCTTGCAGGCAGAGGAGGAGCGAGGTGGGGCTGGGCTGTAACCACCCCAAGGGGAGGCTGTGCAGGGCCTGGGGCCGGGCCCTGAACTTCATTGCCTTGAGGGAAGCAGCGAAGCCTTCTCCTGCCTTGACTCCCAGGGGTGCACTGGGGACCCCACGGCCCCACAGCTCGCTGCCAACGTGGAAGCTCCCCTTTGTTTCACCCCTTGGGTTGTTCTTGCCCTCACAATATGGGGGGGGGGGGAGCTGCTGGGGTCGGTATCGCCCACTGCCCCACTCCTCCCTTCCCCTGGACCCTCTAAAGCCATGAGTTAAAGCTGATGTTTGAATGTAGACGTTGGTGGAGCGGGCTCAAAGGTGTCAGCAGCTCGGGCAAGGCTCTGGGGCCACGCTGCCCCATTGGGGATGCTCTCTAGGAGCGAGCATCCCTGCCCCAGTGGGGAGCTGGAAGGTGGTGCTGAGCCCGGGCCTGCTTGTTTGCTGAGCAAGCACTTAGTTTTGTCAATAAACACCCTTGGTTCTCAACCCTCTCCCACCCAGCTCCGTTTCCTGCTTCAGATGCGGTGTGCTCAGCGCCGCCGTGGGGCTCTTCCTGCCCGTGGGGCACCCCACGGCCCCCTGGTTGCTGCAGGCAGCGGCTCCGGCTTGAGATGCTCTCCCCTTCCCCATAGGCTGTGGGTGGGGGAAGTCCATGGTGGGGATGCTGAGCCCTGCAGCACCTCTCGAGGCACCCATTGCTGCACTGTGGGTGCTGCAGCACCGCTCGAGGCACCCATTGCTGCGCTGTGGGTGCTGCAGCACCTCTCGAGGCACCCATTGCTGCACTGTGGGTGCTGCAGCACCTCTTGAGGCACCCATTGCTGCACTGTGGGTGCTGCAGCACCTCCTGATGCACCCATTGCTGCGCTGTGGGTGCTGCAGCATCCATGGAGCTCCTCAGTGCTGGCTCCTTCCAGACCCTTCTGGAGCCGCCGCAGCACCGGGGCTGGTGCCGGTAACCGGGAGCTTCCTCTTCTGCTTCCCAGAAGTGGCCCCGGTTTCTCGGAATGGGCGGGGGGGGGGGGGGCACGGAGCGGGGGTGGGGCCCTGATGGGGGGGGATGGGGGGGGAAGCAGGATGCAAATGGAGGAAATCCCCCAGCGGGGTGAAACTGGCCCAGTTCCGGCCTGGTTGGGCTGGGGGCTTGGTAAGGGGTTAGCGTGGTTGGTAATGGTGTTAATAGATAATAAGGGGTGTTAATAGATAATAAGGGGTGCTAATAGCTAATAATAGGTGTTAATAGCTAATAGTAGACTTTAATCCCTTGTATCAGGGCTGCTTTTGACCCTTTCCAGGGTGCTTCCCCCTAGTTCTATGGGTGCTGCTCCCCCCCAGATCTATGGGTGCTGTCCCCCTGCTCCCCCCTAGATCTATGGGTGCTGCACCCCTGTTCCCCTCCTTGATCTATGGGTGCTGCTCCTCTGTGGGTGCTGCCCCCCTGTTTCCCCCCTTGATCTATGGGTGCTGCCCCCTTGCTCCTCCCTAGATCTATGGGTGCTTCCTCCTGTTCCTCCCCTAGGTCTATGGGTGCTGCCCCCCTATGGGTGCTGCCCCCCTCCCAGAGCTTTGGGGGAGCAGGGATGGGGCCCTGCCCCCCCTCCCCCCCCGCTTTGGGGTGCTGGGGGGGGGTTGGGCTGCACCTTGGGGTTCCCCCCCCAGCTCTGCCCAGCAACAAGGGCCCTGAATAGCAGCGAGTGGGGAAGTCACGTGACCCCCTTCCAGGAACCCGGGCGTCCGGTCCTGTCCCCCCCCGCCCCCCCCAGCCGTGGGGTGACCCCAGGGGGTATCCACCCCTCCCCCCCCTTGCCTGGGTGCCCCCAGTGCCCCGGTGGGGGTTATGGGGGGTTGGGTGCATGGGGACAGCCCTGGGGGGGGAGTGGGGGGGAGCCCATGGGGGGGGGGCGCTTGTGGTTGGGTTCCGGGAGCTGAAAGGGCTTTTCCATGATGGAATATGGGGGATTTGGGGACATGGATGTGCGGGGGGGTGGGGGGGGCGTTCAGTGGGGCTGCCGTGGGTCTATGGGGTTCAGTGGGGCTGCCTTGGGGCTGTGGGGTTCAATGGGCTGTGGGGTTCAGTGGGGCTGGGGAGTGCTGTGGGGTGCTATGGGGCTGCCATGGGGCTGTGGGGTTCAATGGGGCTGCCGTGGGTGCTGCCGTGGGGCGGGGGCACGCTCCTGGCGCAGGCAGGATCCCGCGGTGACTCAGGCAGGAATGTGCTGGCAGGACACAAGGTTCCAGCCCTGCCCCAGATCCCGCTGCGCCTGCCCCATGGCCGTGGGGGTGTCCCCGAGCTGCGCGTTGCGAGGCGTGGCCTGTCCCCACCAGTGTCCCTATGGGTCAGCCCCATAGGCTGCCGTGGGCCCTCCTCTGGGCCGCGTGTGACTCATGCCCGAGGCGCTTCCACTTGGCGCAGGCGAACACGCCCGAAGCAGCGCAAGGAGCAAGGGGCAGGGTCCGGGCAGTGCCAGCATGGGGCCGGGAAACCCCATTATCCCTATGGGGGTGATGCCGAGGGAGAGCTCCAAGGGGACGTGTCCCGGAAGAATGAAACCTCCCGGTCTTACAGGCGGTTGGTGGGGTTGATGGAGAGGATTTGTTCTCTCTATGGAATCTATTCCATCGCGCTGTCATCATCAGTGTGAATCACAGGGGTTCTGTGTGATAACACAGACCAGCAGATGGATGTGATGTGATGTGATTGATGTGATGTGATGTGATGTGATGTGATGTGATGTGATGTGATGTGATGCGATGCGATGCGATGCGATGTGATGTGATGTGATGTGATGTGATGCGATGCCATCCGTAAGGAGCAGCCTGGGTGCTCCTCCCCTTCGGGCTGAGCCGAGCGCTCCCGGCTCCATCCGGATGCGCGGGGGCCGTGGGAGCCTCTCCCGAGGAGCGCTCGGGGCTCCCGGCCGCGGGCAGCGGAGCGCAGCGGCGCCGCCTGCTGGTGAGAGCGCGGCTCTGCGGGGCCGGGGCAGCCGCGGCTGCGCCTTGGTCCCGGTCCGTGCCCTGCCCCGCCCCGGGGATATCGCGATTTGCCTGGGATAATGGGAGGCTCCTGGGATATCGCGAATTGCCTAGGAAATAATGAGAGGCTATCGCGATTTGCCTGGGAAATAATGGGAGGCCCCTGGGATATCGCGATTTGCCTGGGAAATAATGGGAGGCCCCTGGGATATCGCGATTTGCCTGGGAAATAAACCCAAATCCCGGCATTCCACTGCCTTTGAGCACTGAATGGGGGGGGGGGGTGGACACCTCTCCCCTGCGCTGGTTCATGGCCCCGGGGCGGGCACAGGAGCCAGCGGCGGCCCCTTTAAGGGCGCGGTGGCCATGCGATCACGTGAGCGGCTGCGCTCGCAACATGGCGGCGGCCGTGGGGCTGCTGCTGCTGCTGCTACCGCTACCGGTCGTGGCCGGCGGCGGCGGGAGGAGGGTGAGAGGGACCGGGACGGGGACCGGGATTGGGACCGGAATCGGCACCGGGTCCGGGACCGGGATCGGGACCGGGACCTGGACCGGGATTGGGACCGGGATCGGGACCGGGACCGGGACCGGGATTGGGACCGGAATCGGGACCGGGTCCGGGACCGGGATCGGGACCGGGACCTGGACCGGGATTGGGACCGGGATCGGGATCGGCACCGGGATCGGGACAGGGACCGGGATCAGGACCGGGATTAGGACCGGGATCGGGACCGGGACCGGGATCAGGATCGGGACCGGGATCGGGACAGGGATCAGGGTCGGGATCGGGACAGGGACCGGGATCGGGATCGGCACCGGGATCGGGATCGGCTCCGGGACCGAGATCGGGACAGGGACCGGGATCGAGACCGGGATTAGGACCGGGATCGGGATTGGGACCGTGATCGGGACTGGGATCGGGACCGGGACAGCAGCGGGCACGGAGCCCGTGTGAGAGCCGCCGCTGCCCGCAGGTGTCCCTGCAGTACAACCCGGGCTGGAACGGCTCCTCGGTGAACGTGCTCCACGTGCGGGCCGTGGGCGCCGCGGACACCCTGCACTATGTGTGGAGCAGCATCGGCGGCCCCGCCGTGCTCCTGCTGGCGACCCGGGGCAGCAGCAGCGCCCTGGGCATCGACTGGAGCCGGCTCCTCTCGCCTGACCCCGCCGGCGCCGTCTGGATCGAGCCCCCCGGCAGCGTCACCCACGCGGCCGCCGTTGTCTTCACCAAGGTAGGGCCGCGCAGGGCAGGAGGGGGGCAGAGCTGGAGCCGCTTCCCCAGCGAGTCCTGGCCAAGGGGCTCCTGCTCCCAGCCCCGTGCGCTGGAGCACAGGAGGAGGCGCTGGGCTCTGCTCCCAAGGGATGGGACTGAGGAACCGGCCTCAAGCTGCACCAGGGCAGGTTTAGATGGAGCTGGGGACCAATTCCTGCCCCATTGGACCAGGCTGCCCAGGGCAGTGGTGGAGCAGCTGAGGCGCTCAGTGCCATGGGGCAGCGGTGGCCTTGGCATTTGGGGCTGGATGAGCTGAGAGGGCTTTTCCATGGCTGATTCCCTGAATCCTCAGCACCAGGGAGCAGCTCCCATCCCCTCTCCTCTTCCTTCTCCCCGAGGTGTTCGAGTACAGCGAGGCCGGAGCCCAGGAGGAGCTTTTCTACCCCACCTACGACCTCTCCAACTTCACCTGGGCCAGCATCAATCACACCCTGAACCACACGGCGCTGACGGCCGAGTTCTCCGGGGTCCCGGCTGCTGATCCCAGTGGCAGCTTCTCCAACGGCAGCCTGGCCTTCCGGGTACATCCTTGGGAACGGCACCGGGATGCGCTCGGGCCCTATCCTGCAGCGGGGACGTCCCCGCACCGAGCCCAGCTCCGTGTCCCTGCAGGTCACAGCCTACGAGGCCGGCGGCCGCGACGAGGCCCTGCCCAGCCTCCTGCACACAGCGAACAGCTCCAAGGTGGAGTTCGTCCTGGCCGGGGTGGCCCCGCGGGGCAACGGCTCCCGCTTCGCGCTCCAGGTGGCGGCGGTGGAGGAGCCGGGGCTGGCACCGGCGCTGCGGGCGCTGCGCTCCATTGATGATGAGTACACCCCGACCGTGTTCGAGGTGAGCCCGGATTGGGGCCCCCAGTGCTGGGAGCCCGGTGCTGGGAGCCCGGTGTTGGGAGCCCGGTTCTGGGAGCCCGGTGCTGGGAGCCCGGTGCTGGGAGCCCGGTTCTGGGAGCCCAGTGCTGGGAGCCCGGTTCTGGGAGCCCGGTTCTGGGTGCCCGGTGCCGGAAGCCTGAAGTGCTGGGAGCCCGGTGCTGGGAGCCCGGTGCTGGGAGCCCGGTGCTGGGAGCTCGGTGCTGGGAGCCCGGTGCTGGGAGCCCGGTGCTGGGAGCTCGGTGCTGGGAGCCCGGTGCTGGGAGCCCGGTGCTGGGAGCCCGGTGCTGGGAGCCCGGTGCTGGGAGCCCGGAGCTGGGAGCCTGGTGCTGGGAGCCCGATGATGCAAGCCCGGTGCTGGGAGCCCGGTGCCGGGAGCTCAGTGCTGGACCCTGGTGCCGGGAGCCCACCCTCTGCTCACTGCTCACCCCCTGCTCCAGGTGCTCTCCCTGGCAGCCCAGGCCCAGAACGAGAGCTCAGCGCGGAGCTTCCTGCAGTGGAAAGCGACCGCCTACGGCTCCCGGTGGCCCCGGCGCGAGGACCGGATCCGCTGCCGCTCCCAGGGGCTGCGAGCGGCCGACTGGAGCCTGCTCACATCCAGCCTCGTCCGGGCCTACTTCGGGGACGGGGCCGGCAGCAGCCACGGCGTCAGCGCCGTCAACATCTCCTTCGGCGGAGAGGAGGGGGAGGTTTACGAGGAGAAGCGGTTCCTGAGCTGGTGAGGGGCGAACTCTGCCCCCTTTGGAGGGGGCTGCCCCATCCCTGCCTGTGCTCGCTTCAAGCCCCGGTGCTGCTGCAGGGGTTGGGGTCTCAGAGTGGGATTTGTCTCCTCCCCGCTGCAGGTCGGCGCTGCTGGGCTTCGGGCCGCCCCCCCAGGACACCTTCTCCCCCCTCGTCATCTCCATCATGGCCGTGGCGCTGGGCACCCCGGTGCTGCTGCTGCTGCTGGGCGGCTGCGTCCTCCTGTGCGCCCGCAGGCGGCGCTACTCCGAGTACGAGCCCATCAACTGAGCCCCAGGCCCACCCTTGGCTGCTGCAGGGGCTCCTCTGCCCTCCCCTTGGTGCCCTCCCTTCATCCCACAGCGAGGCTCGCAGGGGACCCCGGTGCCCGTTGCGGTTCCCAGCATCCTGGCTCCCTCTGCCCCGTTCCTCCTCCTGCCCCAGTCCCCATCCCATTGCTCCCCCTCTGCTCCACCCAGCCAAGGGAAGGGACCGGGGGGAGCGGATTCCCAAGGGATGAACCCAGTGCTGCCAGGTTTGCAGCCCATGGAGCTCTGCTGGCCCTCGGGAGGGCTCAAGCAGTGGCTTCAGCTCCGTTGGGTCCTGCTCTGGCTCGGCTGCAGCCTGGGCTCGGAGCCGGGATCCGGGTGCAGGAGGCCATGGACAAGGTGCTCTGTGGCTGCTCAGTGGGGGCAGAGGGCCCCTGAGGGATGCGCTGGGGCTTGGGCTCCGGCATGGGCTTGGCTTTGACCAAATAAAGTGGATTTTGGGTGTCTCCTGTCCCTCCAGCCCCTTGCAAAGCCCCCCCATGGCTTTCCCTTAGGCCCTTGAGGCACTGGGAGCTGAGCATCCCCATCCCTGCAGCCCAAGCGCGCATCATCCCAGGACCCCAGCATCCTGGACACAATCCTGGCATCCCAGCATCTCGGGTACACATTGTTAATGCATCCCAGCATCCTGGACACAATCCTGGCATCCCAGCATCTCGGGTACACATTGTTCCTGCATCCCAGCACCCGAGGCTCATGTCATCCCTGCATCCCAGGATCCCAGGCACCTCTCACCCCTGCATCCCACACTCTATCCCTCCGTCCCTGACTGCACATCACCCCCGTACCCTGGAACCCTCATCCATCCATCACCCCTGCATCCCAGGATCACAGGCACCTCTCACCCCTGCATCCCACACTCCATCCCTCCATCCCTGGCCACACATCACCCCCATACCCTGGAACCCTCAGCCATCCATCAGCCCTGCACCCCAGGATCTGTGTCTCACCCCTATTAACCCATATCCCAGGCTCCTGCCCATACATCCCATGTAAACCCCGGGATCCCCGGCCACGCTGGGACCCCCATCCTGCACAGTGCATTATCCAGCCTCAAGTGCTGTCAAGGCGCCGTTAATCGCTTCTCCTCATTACAGTAATAGCTCTAATCACTCGCAATGATCCCCGCATCCCAGCGCGGCTCATTCCCACCCATCCCAGGGCTCCATTAGGATCGAACCCACCTGCAGCTGCGGATCCGCTGTGGCCACTCCAAAAGGGCTCTTCCCGGGGGGTGGAAGTGACCCCCCCATAGGCTCCTGCTCTTTAAGGTGTCCCCAGGGCAGGGGGAGCGCTGCAGCTGCGCCCCAGCGCCGCGATGCTGGACCGGGACCCCCCAAGTGCACTTAGGGGGCAGGCAGCGGCGGTGTGGGGCCGGGCAGCGCTCGCGCTGCATCCTCAATGCCCCCAAACCACACAGGGGGGATGCCCTTAAAGGATGCTCGGAGCAGACCCAGCCTCAGTGGGGACCCCCCGCCCCCCCGCACCCCAATGGGGCAGAACGGAGCCGGGTCCCCCTCCCTCCGTTACCCCCGGTCGCGGGGCGGGCGGGAGCGGAGCCGTTAATTACCTCATTGCGAGTCCATTACAGCTCCCCCCGGAGCCCGACACCGAGAACCGGCGGCGGGGGGGGGATCAATGAGCGCTGGAGCCCTCGGGGAGCGGGGCTGGAGGGAGCTTAACCCTTGCCTGCCCCCCCCAAAGCGGGGCCGTTCCGGGGCCCTGCTCTGCGGCGGGGCTGGAGAAGCTCAAAGGTTTTAATCTGGTTCCTTCCTCAAATGAGATCAGAGGGAACGAGGCCGTAAATCAGCAGCGAGCAGCGCAGGAGGGACCCCAAGGAGCCGGGGGGGGGGCTCTGTGCTCGCATCCTGCTCCCCACAGCGCAAGGGAGAGGGCTTGGAGCTGGGTCCAGCCCCACTGAAGGGAGCACAGGGAATGGGGCTCCTCCATCCAGCCCCGGCCCCGCGGGGTCCTGAGCCCCTGGGCTCCCGCTCGCCCCTGCCTCAGTTTCCCCTCCGCCCTCCCCTTTCCTCCTGCTTATCTCGGGTCGTGGTGGGTAACAAAGGAGCTGCCAGGCCCGGCCTAATGAGCCAGATGGAATCAATTCAGCTCCATTACGGTCAGATCCAGGTCTCGACCATTACCAAGGCGGCCGGAGAGCCCGAGGGGGGATGATGGAGTGGATGCTACAGGGCATGTGATAACCCCCTGGCTCCGATGAGGGCTGTGGGGAAGGGGGGGCTTCATCCTTTGGCTTTGTGCCCTGGAGTCCTATCCACCCCCCCGGACCCATCGGCAACAGGACCCAGGAACCCGGCTGAGGTATGGCAAGAGCATCGTGGAGGGATGCTGAGTCCCATGGCTCCCTCTCTGCGTCTGTGGGCAGGGACATCATCCCTGCATCCCGGACACACATCATCCCTGCATCCTGGGCACACATCATCCCTGCATCCCGGACACACATTGTCCCTGCATCCCAGACTCACATCATCCCTGCATCCCAGACTCACATGATCCCTGCATCCCAGACTCACATCATCCCTGCATCCCGGACACACATGACCCCTGCATCCCGGACACATATTGTCCCTGCATCCCGAACACACATCATCCCTGCATCCCACACTCACATCATCCCTGCATCCTGGGCACACATGATCCCTGCATCCCAGACACACATCATCCCTGCATCCTGGGCACACATGATCCCTGCATCCTGGGCACACATTGTCCCAGCATCTCAGACTCACATCTTCCCTGCATCCTGGGCATACATGATCCCTGCATCCCGGGCACACATCATCCCTGGATCCCGGGCACACATCCCTGCATCCTGGGCACACATGATCCCTGCATCCCGGGCACACATGATCCCTGCATCCCGGGCACCTCCTCTCCCAGCACCACAGCCTCCCTGCTCCGAAACCTCCCTCTTTTTCCCCCAAAGCTGCTCCAATCCCACCCGGATCCAGCGGGTCCCAGTGCAGGGGAGTGGGGGGCGGACAGCTTTATTATGGACCGGTTGTGCTGCAGAGCAGAGCATCCCAGCAGCCAGGCACCGGGCTGAAGGAGCAGCCGAGCCACCGAGCACCTCAACCACCCCCCTTAGAGCTGGGCCCCCAGTGCCAACAGTGGCCCTGAGCATGTGCTGGGGGCTCTTGGCCCTTCCCCATCAGCTTTGGGGGGCCCCCAGTCCCCCCGGGGCGCTGGGAAGGGAATTTTCCACTATAAATAAGGTTTTGTCCCTCTCCCCCCTCCCTTGGAGCATCACCCCGGGGGGATCGATGGGGCGGGGGGCAGCGGGGAGCAGAGGGTGCTTGGAAGGGGGGGTCCCCCTCAGCCCAGGATGTCCAGGTAGATGGGGGGGGTCTTGACCAGGGCTTGGAGGTGGCTGTGGATGTCCTTGATGGGCCGGCGCTGCTGGGGCTCCCGCTGCCAACAGCTCTGCATGATGGAGTACACCTCGGAGGGACACGTGCGGGGCCGCTCCAGCTCCCGGCCCTGCGTGATGCACTCGATGGCCTGCGGGAACACGGGACGGAGATGGGATAACACCAACCCCCCCTCGGGGCACTGACACCATCCTCTGCCCCCCCCTCCATCACCCACCTCGGTGTTGGAGAGCTGGTACCAGGGCTGCTTCCCGTAGGTGAAGATCTCCCAGAGCACGACCCCGAAGCTCCAGATATCGCTCTCGGTGGTGAACTTACGGTAGAGGATGCTCTCGGGGGGCATCCAGCGGATGGGCAGCATGGTCCTGCCCCCAACCTGCCCGCAGCGGGGCCATCAGTGGGGCAGGGACCCCCCTGTTTGCCCCCCTCAAGCCCCCCAATGTGCCTCAGGTTAGAGCTGTTTTAACACTGCGGGTACCCGGAGGAGCCCCCAGTGCTCCCTGCTCGAGGGGAAGGTGCCCATGGACCTGGATGGGTTTCAAGGGGCCAGAGCGGGCTGCTGTGATTGAGCACGGATGGGCCCGGGGGTGGAAGCGGAGCACCCGGCTCACCCGGTAATAGTCGGTGCTGTAGATATCCCGGGACATTCCGAAGTCCCCGATCTTCACCACCAGGTCGTGGCCCACCAGGCAGTTGCGGGTGGCCAGGTCCCGATGGACGAAGTGGAGCGAGGCGAGGTAAACCATGCCCGAGGCGATCTGCGTGGCGATCTGCAGCAGGCGGCTCAGCGTCAGCGGCCCGCAGGGCTGCCCCTGCCCCTGCTCCAGCATCTTGGCATCGGGGCCGTGGGACCTGCCGGGCACAGGGGCTGCTCGGAGCCGGGCACGGGGGGCAATGGAGGGGATGGGGGTAAAGGGAAGGAGCGGCAGTGACGGGAAGGATGCTCCATGGAGCCCGTGGGGCTTTGAGCTCCCTGCATCCCAAAGCATCCCCCGGCTGCCGGGGTGCGAAGTGGGGCCGCATCCAGCTTTGATGCCGAGCGCTGCTGACAGCGGGAGCTGGGAGGAGGCGGGGGGGGTTCTGCTCGGCACAACCATTAATGCCAACTCCCATAACGATAATCACAGCAGCCACGTCTCAGAGCTCAGCGCGGCCACTAAAGCGATGCCTCTGGCAGCTTCACCCCCCCCACCCCACGCTGTCAGTGCCCCCCCCCCCCGGTCTAGCAGCAATACCTGGGGGGGCAATCGAAAAGTCTCTGCTCATTCCAGCTGATGGCCAATCTCTCTCTATTTGAGCCTCTCAGACAGCTAATCTAATCAATATTGCAAGGAGGGCTGCATTAGCAGGGAGCAGGCTGGCAGCGCTGATGGAGCGGCCAAGGAAAGGGGAAGGAGGGGGGGGCTGCGACCCTCAAACCCCCCCCCAGGCCCACCTGAGGAAGCGGTTGAGGTCCCCGTGCTTCATGTACTCGAAGACCATGATGAGGGGCTCGCCCTCGGTGCAGACGCCGTAGAACTTGACGATGTGTTCGTGCTGCAGCACCGTCAGCAGCTCGGCCTCACGCTGGAAATCCAGGCGGGCGCTTTC